ACACCTCACTTTATAAGATGTCCCCAGCAGAGTCGCCAGTTCTGTGATCGGTGGATCTGGAACTGACTGTTTAACGCTGGTTCGCGAAATGTCGCGGAAGCAAGAGTCGCCACCGTCTTTTATTTTCTCCAAGTGGAAAGGACAAAAGCACAGAAAAATTCCTTAAAGAGATTGCTCTCGGTTCGGGAGGTGGATTATAGAAAGGGAAGGTGTTAGCACCCTTTCTATCCATGGTTATCCATGGGCTCTTAGATACTTGCTCACTTGTGTTTTCAAAAATGGTTTGTTTGCTTTTCAACTGTGGGTTTTAAAAAAGTTTCTTTGAAAATTTCAGTTCGACTCTTGTATCGGTCCTCAAGAGTGTTTGAAAAATTGCTTTCGAAAGCTTTTTGAAAATGTGTTGGTGTGAAAAGTATTTTTGATTTGTTTTGAAATTTGAGCAAGTATCTAGAGTCGTCTACCTACCCTAAGGAATTCGTCTGTGTAGATGTCCTTTAAAGTAGTGCCATCCCACCATTGAGAGGTAGGTAGCACCACCGTTGGAGGTGTTCGGGTCAACTCGAGGTTCGGGACATGGTGATCACCAGAGCAATAGGAAGACACCTTAGAAGCTACCCTCATGCCAGGTTCCCGGATCATGAGGACTTACTAAGACATCCTCTACTCGACGACCACCTTTCAAGGCAAGGCAACAGTGAGGCGTACCCTAGGGGTGGTGTGTGCGATTCGTGTGTCGTTTTCATCTTGCATTTATCTTGTCATGTTATTGGTGTTCTACGCTTGTTTTTATTTTGTCCATACATTCTTTCATGCCATTTATTAACAGTTAAAAGTATTGCGGGAAAAGTAAATTCTAAGCTATTACAAATGGCGCGGGTCCACATCGCCAAAATTAACCAGGACCCGATTTGACAGAAAATAAATAAACAAAGTAAATAAAGAATTGAAAAGTGCGAGAAGTAATTTACATGGCTTTGGGAGAGGTACATAATTATTTAAGCAAAATAAAATAAATATGCGAATTAGAATAAAAATTAAGAACGTGGGCGTTGGACCCTTTTGCAAAATTAAATTAATGAGGAATTAATTAAAATTAAAAGAGAAAGAACTTGTTTTTTGGTGTTTTTTAGTATTTTAAGATTTAATAGAAAAAATTAATTGCAATTAAACGCTAACCCTAATTCTATTTTATTTTAATTTATTAAGAAAAACATTAGAATTTAACCTAAATTAAACCTAATTTTTATATACAATATAATTATAAAAATAAGTATTTAATTAACATTATTATAAAAAAGAAAAATTAAAAAGGAATAAAAACATTAATTAAACCTAATTCTATGTTTTTTATATTTTTTATTAAAAGAATTAAAATTGCAAACCTAATTTAAAACTACATTCAATTACATGCAAATTTATTTATGAAAATATTAAAATAAAAATATTTTTTATCTTTTCTGATTTTTATGTATTTTTTATATTTATGAAAATAAGTAATTAATTTAAACAAACAATAATTAAAAGAAATAGAGTTAAATAAATAATAAAAAAAAACAAAGAAAGTGAAAAATATGCAAACCTATGGGGGGTGGTGGTCCCCAAAGTGGAGGTTAAATCCAAGCAATTCTGGCCCATTTGAATTTCTGGCCTTGTGGACTTTTTTACTCACGTGCAGAACGTTGACTAGAGCCTACCATGATCTCCAAATCTTGGCCCTTGGATGGATGAAAGTGGACGCGTGGATGGCTGGATAGAGGGTTGTATGATGGTCCTCAACGTTGAAGCTGCATAGGAGCGTTATATGAAGAAAAATATGAAAGAAAGTGAGGACCTGGGTCTCGAACCCAGGTCATGAGGATTGCCAATGCATACACTTGCCACTGAACCACTACCACGCGTTTGTATATATAATTATCAACAATTAATATAAAGGAAAACATGAGTTAGTGCTTTTTTCCGCGCCAAAATTCAAATGGACCAGTCAGCCTTCGCCACATAAGCGTCTTCTTCGTTGGTTTTATTTTCCTGAAAATACAAAGACAATGGACAACGGTTTTTGAACCGTTCTGTAATATACCATTAGAGAAAATAACGAATAGGCCATAAGGCCACATAAATTAAGCGCGATGGTTGATTTTGAACCGTCCCAACATGCTGAATTCAGTTATGGTACCATGGGACTCTAATTTTTCCTGAACTGGAAAACCCCAATTCCAAGTTCTTCAAACCCTAAAAAACGATAATGGTGGATTCACGTAGGGTGCATAAAAATACAATTAAATATGTTGGTTAGCTTCAGAATCATTCAAGGAATAAGAATCAATAATTGAAATGCCATAAAAATGCATAGATTTCAAAGTACGATTATGAATTTTTCATGAAATATCTTGAATTCTGTATACCGATTCCTTGAGTTTTGATGGTTGTCTTTGATTGGAATATGCCCAGTGAACCTTCAGCAAGCTAATGGAATAAGAATTATGCCTTGAATCGCCCTAGAATATGGTTTTCAGTTTTGAGTTTCTTTGCCAAATTTTCAAGTTTGTTCTTCAAGTTTTTGAGCAGCTGCGTGTGTGTTATGATTAGGGTTTCATTCTAGCTTATGTAGTGAGTCCATTAGGTCAAGAAAAATAGAACAAATCCATTGCATTCATTGATTTTGAAAATTGATTTTCTAAGATCTTTTTTTCAATCTTTTCCATGTGCTTTTTGTTCTCAATCATGCCAATCAATCCAAATCTTTCTATATTGGGATATGCACGAATTATTGAGAATAAAACCTGTACAAAAAGATTTGTTAGGTTAAGTTAAATATTTTTCACATATTTAATTGATTTAAGTGAATTATTATAAATAAAAATTCAAATAAATAAATAAAAAATGAAAAAATACTTCCCTTTGGTCCAAGTGGTCGTGCACATGCTTGGAATGATGAATTGTGGAATAAAAATGGGCCCATTAGCAATTTTAGGTCATTTGAATCAATGTTGACTTTTCAAAATATCCAAAAATTTCCCAACTTCTACAAGGCATAACTTGCTCAATTTTTAAGCTTTTCTCATGTTCTTGGACATTTTGGAAAGGTCTTTGAGTCCTCTAACCAATTTCTTTGGTCCCATGTCATTTTGATTTACCAATTTCAAGTTATGGCCTTTGACTTAAAGTCCCTTTTTGTTGACTTTTGAAAATGACCTATAATGTTGAAATTGATAACTTTTTGTGAGAGCATTTCTTGGACTTGAAGTATGAAGATGAGTTGTAGGAAATGTCTTTATCTTCAAAATGAGCTTTGGATGGAATTTTTCTGATAATCCATGTGAAAGTTATGCTCTGGTCAATTTCAGTTGACTTTTTTCAGCTGTCCAAATAAGGAAACTTTTGTATCTTGATGATTTTTGAGCCAAGCTTTGAGAATCATGATCAAGCATTGATCAAATGATGTTTGTGGCTTCAAAATAATATGTTGACCAAAAATTTGAACTTTTGACTGTCAAATGACCATTTTGCCCCTACAGTTGACTGTAGTGCAATTAGGGTTTTTGGCTGTGCAATTTTGTGCTGAAAGTCTTGAAACTTGATATGAGGATGCTTGACCATATTTGTAGGCATGTGAGACTTGATTGGACCTTTGGAAACTTCATTTTCTTGATCAGAACACAAACCCTAATCTTGACTGTATAGGAGACCCTTGAACTGTGCAACCCTTGGGGAACTTTGAAGCTTGGCTTGGCAATTTCTTGGAGAATATGGGAGGGCAAATTTTGGGGTACAACAGGGAGCATGCAAAGATCGAAGTCGTTATCTCAATTATAATTGAGTGACATAATCGATCACCAACAAAGGAAGCAATCACAAGCACAAACACAAATGACAAATAAGTGTGTAATTCCTTCTACAAGTCTTTAAACAGCGTCTTCGAGCGCACGCTCTTTATTTCTTACTTCTCATGACATCTAGAAAGCAATAAAGAATGCAGGATAAAAAGGCACGAGAGAATACCAAACAAATATCAATCCATATATGCTAAGAAATATCAAAAGAAACCCAAAATACTTCGCAAGCAACTGGCATCAATAACAAAATAATCAAAAATTCGGCGTGCGAAATATGTATCAAAGCAGTGATGAAAATAAATCACAAATCGGAGTTTGTGTTAAACACATCCGAATACTAAATAGTACACCTGCACTAAATAACAGTCCAGACAAGTGATAACAAAATAGAATATGTGTCGAACATTATCCGAGTACTAAACAATACACCTGCACAAGATAACCATCCAGACAAGTATAATAAAATATGGAATGTGTGTCGAACACATCCGAGTACTAAACAATATACCTGCATAAGATAACCATCCAGACAAGTAATAACGAAAATATATCGTCTCATGGAATGAGAATAATAGCTAAATGTATCGAATACAAGCTTAAACCACAAATAAGTGGCATAACCATGCTTTTCAATCAAATAATCAAGCGGTAAACATGCATCTCTATTCCTACTTCTCATGGAATCATAAAGTGATAAGCAATGCGGAAATGAGGAATAAAATAAAATCACGATGATACCTAACAGAGAAGGTATGTTGTCTCTTCAAAGCCACGCAAGCGTTAAAAAAAACTCTATAGAAGCCTCCTTGAATTTCCTTAATGAAACTTGTGCTTTTAATTTACTTCAAAATTTCTTGAAATACTTCAACAATTATCACCCGATCAATTAAAAATCAATCATGATAATTATACAAGGGATTTAAAAGTTAAGGCAGTCATGAGGTGCAAACTGTATGCAAGAGTTATAATCCAACAATTCAATATGTGGCACTAAGCCCAATCCAGAAGTGGTCCACCAACATTTTTTTGGTATGATAAAAGGCTTTCACCAAAATTGCCACAGGCTTATGGAATTTGGCCCAACTACACCACTCTATCACAATTTTTTAGCCTCAGGATTCACCAATTAATACAGTATATTGTCAACTGAATTAAAAAACAAATATAATGGGCAGAAAACCAAATGCCAGCAACGACGACAAAGAAATATGCTCTTACAAAGGTCTCGACGTACAGGTACGTATTCTTTTCACTTATCCGATTCAAATCCTTCTTCTTCTTTGTTTCCGTGTGTGGTTCTGATAACGTATTCTTCTTTTCCCTTTTTGGATTTGCGCTTTTCCTTCGCGTCGATACCGTGTGTTGAAGCTATTAGGTTGAAGCAGAGAAAACCGTGGACTCGATGAAGATTGACCGTTGAAGAAGTGTGATGATGATCGAAGGAATCGTGAAGAATGAAGTGGAAGGTTGAAGGTGTATGAAGATGAAGATGAAATCGTGTGGTGAAGAGTCCTTTCAAGAAGATGATGGAAAAAAGGTTGAAGAAGATACAGAAACTTTGAGATTCAGATTGCAGAGAGATTGGAGAGCTCTGAGATATTTTTGGTGGTACGATTTTTTGTAGTTTTTGTGATTCTCCCAAAATTGGAGAATAAATTGAATCTGGTGAGTTTTTCTGTTATGTAGTTGTGATAGTTTGTTAGGATTAGAGCCGATCTGAGCTGTTTGATTAGGAGAGTTAGTTAGAATCTGTTAGATGACCTGGCACTGTTAGTTATATTCTGTTAGAGTTTTTGAACTGAAATTTGCTAGTCCTAGGTTTGCTTAAAGTTAGTTTCAGTAGTTGGAGATTAGTTATAGAAAGAAATGGTGATATTGAACTGGTTTGAGTTGCACTTCTGATTTTTCTAATACAATTTTGTTTTTAGATATTTCACGGTTTCCACTTCAATTTCGCATATTTTCTCTTTTTGACTTTATTCTTCAGTTTCAGCTCTTTTCTCTTTATTTGAAATGCATACCTTGCATTTGTTGTGATAGCTCGTGAATCGTAAATTAACTGCTCTGAACTAGCTGGTTCTGTTTGGTACAACAGGACGATTTTATTATTGCTTATTTCTGGTTTCGATCTGTTTGGATACGGTTGAAGCTCAAAGCATGTATATAAATGTGAGTGTCAAACCAGATGCTCAGACTGGAAATGACCTAGTAATCTTCTTATGAACTAGAGAATTACAATGTCATGAATGGTGTTTGGTGTATGTATAGAAATGGTATGGACTGACTCAATTAATAAGTGTATGGTTCTGAGCTTTTTTCTTGGGTTTCATGCAGATTTGTAAAAGACATTGGCAACTGGTTTGTTGCATTTGTTTGTGGCAACTAATATGTGCAGGGCATTTTTTGGATGAATTGGTTTTGGAGTTTTATAAATCTGGTTCAGGTTGTATAACACATGGAAAGCTTGGAGAAATACTTGGGATGGGAAGAAAGGTCAACTCAAATCAGAGTCATGGAGATTATTTGAATCAAAGATAATTCATGATAGAAGTTAGAATTAGAACAATAGGCTCATCATGTGTTTTTTTTTTTTTTTTTGTAATTTTCCTTGTGTAATGTGATATGTTTATGTTGGAAAGATTTAATTCAAGTTTTAAACAAGAGTTTATGGACTATTTTCATGGAAAGACAATGAATTGTAATGGAACTGTTTTGACATGTATGAATAGGATAGCGAAATGACGACATGGACTTGGTTTCAATTGAAACATAAAGAATACAATTGGCCATTTAAACTTGAATTTGATGTTTGCATTGGAAATTTGATCCCGAACTCTTGATAACTTTGAATGATAAATGATGAGTAATGTTTGAAATTGAATAATGTTAAACTTGAATGATGTTGACTTTGAAATTTGAATGAAATTGATTTTGATGAATAAATGAACTATGCCTCGCAACTGTGCCTTGAATGATATTTTGTAACCCGTAAGTTGAATTCAAAGCATTTCATTTACATTAACTTTCCAACCTTAGCTTGGATCAACTCTTGACATTATGAAAAAAATATGGGCTTAAGAACTTTGATATAATTAGGAAAGTTAATGTCAAGCATGCAATTAGCGTGAGTATTGACATTATGATTTTTTTTTTGGATGCCTTCACTAACAAGTTTTGGAGGGAAATTGTTTGATATTCTCAAAGGATTTCCATAGAGAAAAAAGAAGTTATATTTCCTATCTTTCAGGGCGGACGAAAGGTGGAAGCGATGCTTAACCAAGCGTACTCGCAAAAAGTGAATACAAACTCAGCTAGGAAATAACACTTCTTGTGTACAATGCAGAGAACAGTCATGGTGAAGATTCACGAATGAAAGACACCATTAAAGATGAACAGAAGTTGAACAAATGAATTTTGAGGAATTGTATGTCATAATCATCTGCAACTTGGGGTTGCAAACTTGCGACTCAGCAGTCAGAGAAGAAATAAACTGACAAGTCAGGGGTTGGAAACTCGCGACTCAGATATCGAAGCAGAAACAATCTGACAAACTCGGAGAAGAAACAAACTAACAAGCTCACGACTCAGAAGTCAGAGAAGAAACGAATTGGCAAACTCACGACTCAGAAGTCTGAGAAGAAACAAATTGATAAACTCATGACTCAGAAGTCGAAGAATAAACAAACAAGAAAACTCACGATTCCGAGACCGGAGAAGAAACAAAATTAACAAACTCGCGATTCAGGGATCAAAGAGGAAACGAATTGGCAGACTCACGATTTAAGAATCAGAGAAGAAACGAATTAACAAACTCACGATTCAAGATCGGAGAAGAAACAAATATGACAACCCGAGAGCTGAATGTATGTTAGGCCGAGGGAAGACATACAAATAAAAGAGACTAGCCGGAGGTAGACTCTTAACAAAGTTGTCACGAATATATGTTCGGAGTTGGTAGCAAACATATAAAAAAGCATCACAAATGCATGTTCGGAGTTGGTAGCAAACATATGAAAAAGCATCACAAATGCATGTTCGGAGTTGGTAGATGCATGTTTAGCAACGCACTGGGGAAAGCACATCAATAATCGGCTACTGAGAAGACCAGGAACTTCTGAACGATTATCTTTACACATCTGAACTTCTGTAGAGAAAAAAATCCCTCTGAACTTCAACGGGGAAACGAGATTCAGAACCACCCACATCTGAAGATTGATATCATTGGGGAAGTAACTTCCTGGAGAAAATACTGCAAATAATAAATTGCAGTTCAGGGAAATTCTTGAACTTTGATCCAACTCTTAACTTTTTGGGGAAAAAATCCAATATCTCTTTCCAGGGATAAAGAGAACCTTGTTGGGAACCGGGACCTTATGATGTAAGTCCTCAATGAAAGTGACTTCGACTGGGAAATCGTAGAAATTCTTAAATAAAAGAATTCTACCCAGGCCACACTGCAGAGAAATGAGGAATGCTTTGTGATAACACGAAATTATATCATATTTTCGACTTGATTCACATGCACTTTTATATTGCTTTTCATTCATTTTATCTTGTTATGCCGGTTTTTCTATTTCATTTCAGGCATTTATATTTCACAAGGGTCTCATAAGAAAAGAAGAAGAAATAACAGAAAATATGTGACTCTGTTGCAGAAAACAGAAGAAAATGCATCAGAGGACTGTGACGGTCGTCACAACCTCCCGCTAGTCGCTACAATATGAAAATATGTGTGCCCCTCGGGGCACATGATGGTCTGATCGCCACGCCTTGAAAGTATGTGTGCCACTCGGCACACATGATGTTACGATCGACACAAGTTGAAAATATGTGTGCCCCACATCACACATTGCATGTCACTCGCCACCGTCAAAAAAGAAACACACGTTGTATTAATAAGATAAAGTTTGAGTACATTAATGCCCCTTGGGAAAAATAATACAAAACTCTAAGATATAAAAGTAGCGCGCATCCTCTTTGGTGCAATGTAGGCATTCAGAGTCTGCTCCTCATGAAGTAGCCTAGTGAGTTCCAAAACCTTCTTCTCTCTTGCGTAGAATTGGGCTTCAAAAGTATCTCGCTCTCCTTTGAGTTGTATACAGTCCCTTTGGATGTCTTAAAGAGACGTGGGCATGTCAGGATGTAAGATAGTGTATGGAACGTCTCCCTCCATGATAGGCTCAATGATTACCGGGAGAATGGAGGGGTAAGGCATCATAAGACTCTGAGCGCGAGTTCGTACCCATTTGAGGTAAGGGTCGAGAGGGATGGAATTCTTGTGTCCCAAAGTCTTGCTATCCACCTTGTTTAACATCCTCCAAGCTCGGATAAATCTCTGGCGAAGACCTTGATTTTCATTGTCATAGTCGAATACCGAACCTTGAATCAGCATCTCGTGCGGACCATCCCTTCGGGCATAACCAAACTGTCTTAAGGCTAAACATGGGTTGTAGGTGATTCCTCCCCTAATTCCAAGTAAAGGGACATTAGGAAATTCTCCACAACGGTCGACAATGATAACATTCTCTTTGGAACGAGAGCACCAATGAATGTATGAATATTTAAGCGTCATCAACCTTTGTGACCACCTTGAACCTTGCTCATTCTTTAATACTGATTGGGGAAGATGAGAAATAAACCATCTTGCCAAGAGAGAAGTGCAACACATAAGGACACCTCTTTTCCCCATTGTGCGAGTGCGAAAAGAGTGTAGGATATCCCCTAGCAATGTAGGCACTGGGTTGCGTGATATAAAGATTTTGACGGTGTTCCCATCTATGAGTTGGTCATGGTTAGGAAACAAAACCATCCCATAGATGAGGAGAGCCACAATTTCCTCAAAGGCTTGCAAGTCTAGAGAATTCCAATAGCTTTGGGCTTTCTCAAACAGGAACTTTGCTAGGAAGCCTTTGACACCACTCCTTGTTTCCCAATGAGTTGTGATATCAGATGAGTGCAAGTGTAGAGCTTGAGCAATCTCTTCTGGCTTTGGATCTCTTTCCGTATCGTTGAAAGGTAGTTTATTGAGAATGGGAATCCTCAAGAGTTGGGATAATTCTTCCAAAGTAGACACAAGTTGATAGTCGGGAAATGTGAAGCAATGGTGTAAAGGATAAAAGAACTGAAAGAGAACCTTCATCATGTCCTCATCTGTGTTAGAGGTGACCAAGTTGAGTAGACGTCCATGTCTCTCGGTGAATAGAGAGTTCTAAGGAATCTTTGAAGCTAGCTCCTTAAGTTGTGGAGGAATTCTTACAAGGTTGACTTGAATATTTTTCCTGCGAAGTGAATCCATATCCTACAAAACAAGAACAAAGATGAATCCCAAAAATCCTTGAAATGGTTAGTGGATGTATATGATGTTCATGATGTCCATGATGTTATGTACAAGTATGCATATACAAGCAAAGCAAATAAGTCTTTAGTTTAGGCTTGCATGGAGTTTTATAGGTAAGTACCCTCTTGAAGTTTAGTTGGTTCAAACATGTCCTAGTAATAGTAACTGGGTTCTAAGAAGCTCAATATCACTGGATTGTTTCCTTGGTCATTGTTTCAGCTCAAGCCTCTTTAATGGCGACCGAAATATCCCAAGAAACCAAACCTCAATGAGTGTAGTATCTAGTATCTACCAACTTCGGACTGCACCAAAGCCGGTCATCTCACTACATCCTAAAGGCCAAGTTGGTCAAGTAAAGGTTCTAGAAGTTCATTAGTGGTTTATGACATCACTCAGCGACCCCGTATTCTCTTTGATTAACTCAAAGGCTACTGGTATCCACAAATATGTCGCACTAACATAGCTATTGCTTAGACCATGTTGGTATACCCCGTGCAGTTTCCACAACGTATTACTACTTACCTATAATGTATCCCAAATTCGGGTAGAGGATTCAAACCCAAACAAAGAACCATAATGTAAAGCATACAGGTCAAACAATGTAAGCAAGTAAATGTGATCTAAACCCTAAGGTAACCCCACTTTTAGAAGAGTCCCCAGCAGAGTCACCAGTTCTATGATACGGTGGGAGAACTGACTTGATGTTTTTTGCGTTTGATCACAAATGTTGTGGTTAACAAGAGTCGCCACCGACTTTTCTTTTAACCAAAAGGAAAGGTGAAAAAGCACATGAAAGAACTTTGAGATTGTTTCTTGAGTTCGGGGGGTAGATTATGAAAAGGGAAGGTGTTAGCACCCTTTTCATCCATGGTTTTCCATGGGCTCTTAGTTACTTTCTAGATCACTTGCTTTTGTTGTTTGAAAATTGTGCTTGGTGTGATTTTGAAAGTATTTTGTAAAAGAGTCCATTGTTTAGGTAATCTTTGTAATGATTCTCGTTCGTAAGAATGTATACAAAGATGTTGATCTTTTTGAAAATTGTTTTCAATGTTTGTAAGATGTTTGGAAATGTGTGTGTTTGTTTTGAAAATAGCAAGGATATTTGTTTTGAAATGGAGCAAGTAATTAAGAGCAATCTACCTACTCAAATGTCTTTCTTGTTCATTTTCTTTTCCTTTGATATTGTTGTCTTACCATTGAT